CCCCAAAACCCCAAAACCCCAAAACCCCACTATTTACCAAGTTTATTGCAAATATTAAAGATGAAATATTCATAATATATAGAAGAGATAGACAAAAGAACATAATTAATACTGAGAGAATTAAAGATAATTACAACTACTTACTCTGAAGCTTTGATAGATCATGACTGCAATTGTGTTAATCAAACTCTTGTGCCAAGTTCTGATATGCTTTAAGAAGAATGTGGCAAATAATCTGGAATTTTTAAGGAAAAATAATCTAAATGTTGGCTACCTAGGGCTTAGATTGCAAATTTCATCTCAGTTCCTTTCTTGCATACTGGCTTTATTTGTATTTCTTCTCCCAGCAGCTTCACATACTTTTTCTGATCGTCAGAAAGGCCCGCATCCGTTAGGATTTATATCTGAGCTCTTGCTGATTACTCCGAACAGTGTAAATGGACATGCCTGATCTTTTTGTTTGATGCCAGTCCCAGTGTCTCTGACTCTGAATTCAAAGTAGCTTAAGTCGTCAAGAGACTTTGTCACACAAGCACTGACTTCGATGAACCCACTGGATGTGAACTTTGAAGCATTCAATACCTGTCTGATTCTTTTGTGGTTGGAGCTGGCCTCACACAGCTGGGATTCTTCTTCACACTAGAAGATCAAGTCGACGCCTTTGTTTTGTCACTGGACTTCCAACAGCGCGTTAACTTCTTCGAGCTGTTCTAACGCCGAACAAGCAAAATTTAATTTGCATGGTTTCGTTGTCGATTTTGGACAAATTCAGAATGTCATCTACTAAAGTCAGAAATGTCGCTGAAAAGGTGGGACGACCTTCACATACTTCGAGATGATGTCAGAGTTCATGGTGATGCTTCTGTCTTAGAATCAACCATCGTGAATCTTCTATCTGAAAGTGATGAGCAGCTCTTCCAAACTTTACTTGCTGAAACTGAAAGAGTTGATTATGGCATTCGGTGGAGTCCTGAACTCGTAACTCATCACTTGCAAACATGATCTTTTGCATTTTGATTCTGGTTTTGACATGCTCGAGTTTAATGATGTCAATAATGTCAATAGATACAAACATTACTGATGAGTGTCTCCTCCACTCAGTCTTTAAGAACTCTATATTGAAGTTTCTAATTGGTTTATTTTCTTTGCCTAATCCATCATTTATACTGTCTAGCTAACCTGAATCATTTCTAAATACTATAAATATGCACTCTTCAATGGGAGTAAATCCAAAGTGGGGACATTTAGTGATCCAACTCAAATGAATACTTTTCTCCTTGTCCCAGTGCCTCTGCATTGAATGATAGCATTGTCTTGGGTTCGTTTTAGCTTATTCTGTCTTTGATAATGATGCTAAACTTAATACTAGAGAAGAGTAAGGCTTCTTGCTAATTTTTCATGTTCATCTTTATTACTCGTGGTGACCCTGACTTTATCAAGTTCATGGATCTTCCAGTTCAAAAAAGTGTTTTATTCTCAAATTTATCATTTGAATATCCCTTGGACAATTTAGATATTTTCTGAGGAAGTATTAAAACTGGGTGAGGAAATTGTCAAACAATTTTTGTTTCTTCTTGACTGGCTTATTGTTCTCAATAATCATCCAGTATATTTGAGAAAGTTTCATTTATTTGAATCTAAGTCCAAGTTCCGGGGTGATAATTGACATCAATCCTGAAGCTATTAGGGTTTCATCAACCTCACCAGATCTGTAAACTGCGATTATAAGTGTGTGGCTACAAATAGAGCAGAAGTCAAGCTGATCAAGTGCATTTTAGAGCGAGTCAAAACTGACAAGTGAAAATTATGGAGGTGTATCCTGAAAATAATACATAATAGTGACCTTTGTGGTTAATTTGGAATATTAAATGAGGGATGACTATGCTAGCTACATTAAAAAATAAGAGTATAGAGAGTTTGAATAATTCAAGTTCTTTATTCAGAAATACTTTAGTACTTATTGATGAAGTAATAAATCTATTACTTGCTTATTCTTGATCTCAATAATCAACATTCCTATCATATTTGAATATATGTAGAGAATTTTCATATAAAATGATTAGCAACATTAAACTCAAAAGTGATTCAGCATTCAAAGATAGATATAATAATATGCTTCTAAGTTGTTCTAGATTCAAAGTCTGTGGGTTATCAAAGAATCTTACAATAAGAATTACGAAGCTCATAAACACAAACAGCCATCTTGCTTAATTATATCAATAAGTTATAAAATCTGTTTTCTGAAAGTCAAATTCTTGCTTATTGTATGAGGACATTTTATCTACTGAAAATGTAACCATTCTCATAAAAATGGAGAAATATACATATTCCTACAGAAATCATTAGTTTTAAACATTTCATCTGCATTGCTATTGGGCGGATAGAATGGGCATCTAATTGCATTGAACGCATTTAAAATTAAAAATGCATCACTTTCACTAAGTTCATAGCAATACAAATCTCAAAGTTTACATTTCAGTTCATTATATTTCTTTCTATAAGAATTATCTCAGACTAGAAAAGATTGTCCCTCAAGATTTTATTCTTTCTAAAGTTCCATCTCCTCTCAACTCTAAGATATTTTTCCGATGTGCAAAGAGGCTTCCCTTCTTGATATAACCCATCGAGGGTTCATTCAGATGGTCCATCTAGTCTTGAGTTTACTCTGTGGACTTACTCTTGGGAATGAGGTTCTCCAGTTGGCCAAACTCAGTATCTCTTTGCTGGGAAGCTTTTTGAACTGTGTTAACTTGTGCATGCTGAAGGATGATTAAAACTAGCCAAGCCCCATATTTACCTAGTTGGGTTTATATATTTATTATTAGCCTACTGGGGTTTTGGGGTTTTGGGGTTTTGGGG